ACAGATATCAGGAATTTGTAATCGTCATTGCCGCAATGAACATTTAATGAACTCCTTTAAAGGATTCAGCTTACCAGTTATCATCTTGACATTCACACCGAGATGAAGAGATTGTCGAATGGTTTAGGCACTGTCATGCCTTGGAGGATCAAACAGAGGCAACAAACCAACAAATTGCCATGGAGTACCTGCACCTTCTTTCATTTTTTTGGGGTACTTGCTGGAAAGTGTAGGAAAATTGACAAGGGTAAGGGGACATTCAATATTGAAACAACATAAATAGTGATAAGAGCATCATGATTATTGGGTAATATACCTGTCCGGCAACGCCTAATGAACGAAGCCCACGCTCGGCAAACTTGTCAATGATAGAATGGACCTTCCTTTTGAAATCTTCTTTCGCATTGCAAAGGGCCAAGATCTGTTGACAGATGCAATATGATCAAATGACACGGAAACTCAGTAAAATATTAATGCAATGTTCATACCGACGGCAAACAAGATTACCTGCTCGGGAGCACCTTTGCTGGCTCGATGCCAGTTGCCATTGGAATCGATGTAAGTTAAAGCAGTTCTCTTATCCACAGGATTGAAAGGCAAGAAATGCATCTCTCTAATGCCAGCTCTTGCCTGTACGTACAAAATATCAAACATAAATAATTCCCTAGGTTATAGAATCAAAATAAAAAAAGAAAGGGTCACGTACCTCCTTAGGGTCAGCAAGCATTCCGACAATGGCAGCATCAATGGCATCTTGATTTTCAATTCTAGAGGCCCTTGCGGCAAGCAACATGACATGCTCCTTATCAACATCCTTTACAAACACCGCGATCAAGTTTTTATGGACACAGATTGTTTAGTGTCAATGTTCCAGTCTTGTCACTGCAAAGGACATCCATACCAATTACCAGCCATTTTTTCAATGGAAGTCATACGCTTGGTTATAGCACCCTGCTGAGACAGTCTATGGGATCCGATGGCCATGGTCACCGGCAAAACACTCGACATAGCAGTTGGAATACCACCAATCAAGAGAACCAATAGATTGTCAATTCCATCCCTGTACTTGCGGTGTTGAATTGGATACATGACTATGATCTCGACCAACATACCAACAGCAATCCAACAAATACAGAAGTTTCCAATAGCAGTGAGCACCTTTTGGAAGTGACCTACTTAGTTGGTGCTGTCCACAAGATGTGCAGCCTTCCCAAAGAAGTGTGCACACCAGTAGCGATAACAACAGCTTCAATTTCACCCTGCTTGCAAGTTGAACCCGAGAAGACTTCGTCCCCAGGATTCTTTATTACAGGAAGTGATTCTCCAGTTAAGGCAGATTGATCAACCTTAAATGGATCACCTTCAAGAAGACGGGCATCGGCCGGGATGATATCTCCCAATTTAATGCTAATGATGTCTCCTGGAACCAGAATTGCTGCTTCTTGCTCACTCCATCTGCCATCCCTTAGCACCTACATTTCAAAGCCAAATAAATTCAAGTTCAGTTTCATCATATTCAAAACAAAAACAAATATGAACTCCTGGAATCCTAATCATTACAAACTATTAAAACTTATTTCAAAGATCCAAATCCGACACCTCTAACTCTATTTATTTCAAAGAAAATGTTCTATAATTTCCTTCGTTTTGGGTGCAAGACCAGCCATAAGAGCAGCTGCTGCATTACCAGCATTGTTTTCTTCAATGAAACTGATTGTAGAGTTGATGACCAGCAAACAGACAATACCAACGAAATCTTGCCATCTCCATTAGCCAAGGCAATGGCCATGATTGCAGCAGCTTCCATGACCTATGACAAGGGATTCCACATGAATCCCAAGAGCTTGAGGATCTTGCTCTCCTGTTCATTTTAAAAGTATAATCAAAAGTTATTATGATTGTGGACGTAATACGTGTTACCGAATATCGAACATTAAAATCCATTAGCATACCTTTTTCTCTTCTAGCTTGTTAGGGCCGAAAATCTGAAGCCTGTTGGCTCCCTCTTCTGAACTCAGTCCTTCTCTGGAACATTTCAGCTGCTCGAACACTTCCTCGATCGGGATTTTTACAAACAGAGTAATTTCAATGACATTTGGATCTCCAATTGTTGATTGCTGTCTATATTTAATGTTTTTTAAATCTTATATAGTATATATTTCCTATTTTTAACGTTTATTCTGAATAAATAATTTGGAAAAAAATATTCTAAATAAAATCATCGTCATTGTAAAAATTCAGTTTTAAGCAATATACAAAAATTATTTTCCCGATAAAACTGGATATTTAGTATTCATTTTCTACGTTAACGAAAGAGAAAAGTAGTAATCTTTAAAAGTAGTTTTTTTTTAAATCTACAGAGAGAAAAAGGGCTAGGAAATAAAGTACCTTAAAATCCACAAAATCTAGCTTTCAAATGAAAACAGAAAAACAGAAACACTTTATTCTGTACAAGAAAAAGATCTGTCACTGTCATGTCATCCTTTCGTTTCTCACGTTTTAAATCACTTTTTTTTAGAGATTACTTGTGGACCTGCCGTGGACATGTTTGGATAGAGAGAAAAAATTAGGGAAAAAATAAATATCATTTCAATCATAATTTGGTTAGATCTATTCATAACTTTACTTTCTATAAACTCTTCAATGATCAATCGATTGAAACATAAATAAATATCTTTTTTCTATACTTTACTTTCTATAATTTGGTTATTTTTTTAGTTTTTTAATAAGAATAATTACATCTGTGTGGCGTGTTCTCTGTCTGTATGACACGTTTATCTATGTTTTTATGGTATATTTTTCTCTGTCTTTTGATAACTTACGTTTTTTTATCATTGTTTACGGTTTTTTGTCGTTGTTTTTGTTTATCTTTTTTACTCAGAATTGAATTTGACATCACCACGTCACGATTGATCAAAACAACACTTATTTGTTATCATGATGATCTTCCATGTTTTGGACCCTCAGATTGATATGGATATGCATTTTGTGTTCATAGATAGTTTCTTACGTCGCTGGTCTTTCAGTAACTTATCACATTTTGTGATTCGTTTTGTTTGTGTTTTTATTTTATTTGAGTTTTTTGGTTAGGTTTTTTTAACCTTTTACGTCATTGGTCTTTATGTTATATAGATGGTTAGTTTTTGTCTCAATATAAATAGTAAAATGTCATAATTATATTATAGGTTTACGGTTATACTTATAAATATTCATTTTAGTGCAGTCCGATGATGTTAAACAGCGTGTAATTGCACTGAAACTGTTTGATTTTATTACTCAAAGAGGAATATCCGCTTGGTTGTTCTACATTGCGTAAAGGCAGTTTCATTGTTCGACATGATGGAGGTAAGCCTTTCCACTACTTTAGTTACTTGTAATGTGACGCTTGATGCTTATGGGACGATGGTTTGATCTCGGGATAAGATTTAGTACTTTCGAATGATCATGGGAATCAGAAAGGCAATCCAATACTACATACGAGTTTAAAGAAAATATTGTTGTTGTGGGAGACTTACAAATAGAGATGGGTATGGTCGGGTCGGGTCGAGTCGGCTTTCTGGTCTGAACCTGATCGAAAAGCATACACTTCCAACCGATCCATTTTTTTTAGATAAAATCCGAATTCGATCCGACTTAAAATAGTATATTTATTAAAAAATATTACTTTTATTCATAAAAATATGAGTTTAATTGAAATAATAATATATAAGGTAAAATTATCTCTAAACCCGAACTTGAACCGAACTTTAAAAAAGAAAAATCGACTCGTTCAGGTCGAGTGCTATGCTAAAATACCGAATTGGTGAAAAGGCTATGAAGTGCTATGTTTGATTGGTGGAAATGAGATGACACACATCTAACCACCCATAAACAACTTCGTGGATAGGTATGCTAAAATTGTAGAAATCCATTCAAAAATATGCAGCCAGTCCCTATACTTCCATTTATTTGTAAAATCCACAACGCCAAACTATCTGACAAGTCCCTCTATTATAGGATCGATTTTAGTTAGTCTATTTACTAATTAAACGAATCGATTCAATCCTTCTGTTATAACGATCGGTTAAAATTAATCTCTATATGATTAAATGGATCAAAGTATATTTTTGTTACAGATAATAAGATATTTGTAATAATAGAGGCATTAATTTTATCAAAGTAATAATAGAGGGACTAATTTGAACTAATCCTAAAAACTTTTAAATGATTGCTTCATTTTAACCATCCATGCAGGGCCGTTGTTATAGGCATGTGCTACCGACCTGGCCCGCCTAAGGCCTGCCTAACGCCTGTCTATGGAAAACTTCAATTTTCAGATTCATACTAATTTTGATTTGATTTAAGTGTTTGTATCACTACAAAATAAATTATTTATATTTAGTCATATCATTACATAAATCTTTGGACCAATTATAGTAAACATCCTCAACTACGGCTCAAATTCTGAATTGCTCCCTACACATCAACCGTTTTAATTGAATCCTCAATGCTATCAATCAAATATTTTCATTTTATTGAAGCTAATTTAAGCATTAAACGACTGTGTATCCAATTTTAAATTAAGTGCATACATATTAGGTTTTTACCTTGGGACCTAAGAAGTATTTAAATATGTTTAGGACAAAGACTTATGCTTCAAATATTCAATCAAAAACTTTAAAATTTTAGGGATGAACTTATCGAGCGGTCTCAGAGATAAAAAGAGATGGTTTTCTCTTTGGGGGGATTTTATTTTCGAGTAATTGTGTTTGTAGAGCGTATATTCATTGTCAATATGTAAAGAAAATTTTGAACTGATATTACATTGTAATCACCCAATATTATTAAAAAGAATCAAGGATTAATATAAAATTCAGGTCATAAATTAGGGACTTATGGGTGAATTAACCCATTAGATCAACTCGACCATGAAAGAGAAAAGCATGTGCAGATTTTTTGACACAAAGCAATAAAAGGAGGAGGTGAGAGAGGAGTGCACAGAACTATCTGTGCAACCCGTTTTCTTTCTTCCCCCTTCCCCTTTTACTTTGGCCTTTGGCTTAAAAATTTTCACCAAAAAAACACCGCTCACCACTCAAAAATATATCTGAAATCCACATCTCCCCCTTTCAGGACATCTCCAATTCTCTCTAGTATCATTCTCTTTCATTTCCCCCTTTTATTCATCAGCTTCCATGGGTTTCCCCCCTGGTTTAAGCCCTTCTTAGAGACTTGTATAGATGGAGTGGGATAGTAATTCCGATCTGAGTGGGGACGAAGACGAGGGCTCCGTCTTCAACGTCGGCGACCCACTTCCTTTCCCTGTCGAAAACTTGCTTCAAACGGCTCCTTGCGGCTTTGTCGTCACCGATTCTATTGAACCCGACCACCCCATCGTTTATGTCAACACTGTCTTCGAGATGGTTACTGGGTATCGCGCTGAGGAGGTTATTGGCCGCAATTGGTTAGTTCTTTTTATTGTTTTTTTTTGGCTTGGCTAGGTTGGTTTAGAATTGTTACTGGTTTTTGTGCTTCATTTTTATTGGTGTATTACTTGAGATTTGGAATGATGTCTGGTTTATAGTTTTGTTTTCTAGGTCGTATATGAAATGGGAATCGATTAGAATGTGTTTGTGGTCTCTGGGCCTTGAAATTTATTGGATGATGAAAACCCTTATTGAATTTGTCTTTCTTTTTTTGGTTAATTACCATCCTTTAGGGGGGATTTTAGTTATGCTGTGAATATTTTCGAGTATATTCGAGATAGGAAGTGCTAATTTTCCTTTTGCAAAGAGAAAGCAAAAATTACTTTGCAGTTTAAAGAATTTAGGTTTGGGAATCCCCTTTTGAAGCTTCCGAACTAGGGATTTTTCGGTTAAAAGAAATGTTTCAAGCGCTCAAACGTTTATGTTGCTCCAATTCTTCATTTTGCTTCTAGTACTCATGTCCGAGATCCATCTGTTACATATTTGGATTTGAGTATGGGGATATACCACTCTAAATACGTGGGAAAACTTAAAAGAAAGTTGAACACACAAATGTGGTCCTGTGGACTCACATTGGAATCAAGTAATGTACCTAAACATGTACACCATATCAAGTGTTTAGCGAAGCCCTTTATCATCTATCCCGAACTGACTTAAAATTGATGGCGGTGGAATTGATTTCCTTAACTTAGAATGTTTGAAGTGTTGCAAAGTAGATATTAACTAGGAAGTAATCCGCCGTGAACTTTGGGTGTATACTTATCGGCCATAATTCACTGGGATGTTCTGTCGTCTTAGTAAGAAAGGGAAGGTTGAGGATTCACACGGCGTGAAATATCACGTTGCAAGGATTCCTTGAGGCTGTCTGACTAAAGGATTGTCAACACAATGAGATGTTGTTTAGTTCGAGTAGAGCAACCTGGCATTCGCTAGAAACAGATCTGCAACTTGATTGAATCAACTTTTTTATGGGTGCCTGTGTGTTCTTGTTTAGCTCGTCGGTAGGATAAGGGATCGGAAATGTAATGCTGGCAACATCTTGTTGATTTATCTATGCATGGGTTTCGAACTTCATCTTGATTGTGTTGGGCTTTCAAGCACCTAATTCATCCTACATGTTGACAATAAAGGTTGTTGCTCAAGAGGGCATCTTTAGGTTTTATATTATATTTCCTATTATTACTTTCTAAAGAAACCACCCTTTGATTTTATGGCATCCTTCTTTAGGTAACCATTCCTGAATCATAGCAATCAGAAAAGAATTGAAATGTTCAATGTTTCTGATATAAATTGTATTGACTACAGATTTGAGTTTTTAGCCTACATACCAGCATTTAGTAAAATGATGAGATGAAGAAACATTTCTATGCTATTCTGTTTTCTTGGAATTGTGGATGATATCTTCCTCGATATGTTGAAGCTTATATGAAGGGAGACAGGAGAAAAATATGTCAATGGGACCATAGCTGGCTACATTGTTCTAACCGACTTACTACTGCTTAGCTTATTAAGTTGATGCAGTATTTTGGGAAAATTCGAAATGCATGATGCATCATAATGTAATATGACTGAAGATATCTTGGTAGTTGTATATGAGACTGTTTTGTATGCGCGTCAAAACTATCTTGGTAGTATCATATGAGACTCATTCATGCTTGCTTGAGGAATCATATTGCTGTGGTGAAAAGTATTTTTTTAAAAATTTTCAGCCTCTCATCATGGAATAATGTGGATCTTGTACGAAAGCCTTCTGGTGAACAAGAATTTAGCTTTGGTTTTGGGCTGTGAAAGAGCAATTGCTTGGGGCTTGATATTGAAAGCTTAAAATGGATGTAGTTTATATTCACTGCCACTAGGAAAATTTGAAAAAAATATCACCTTTCTACTTGTCAGCCTCGGGACAAATTGTTTTCTGGAGAATTTTTATAAATATTTTGAAACAGAAAATCCTTAAATTTAAAGTTATTTTGATATTGGGACGATGAGTTTTATGGATGCTGCACATCTCTTGACAAGGAAAACTTTCCCTTTTCTTGTTGAAGTTGTCGGCGAGTATCTGAGCCTATTATTTTTGAATCTTTGTTTTGTTTTTGCATATCTTTGCTACTGTTGAGTTAAATATGTCTTTTTAAATGTGTTGGTTCTATGCTGAAATTGGATGGACTCAATGAACCAATCGACTTCTGGTTAATTTCTACTTTCTTTGTTGATGCTGAGGTCTCTAAAGTTGCATATCTGTGTACTTAAGTTATGCTTCTTACCGTTACTTGTAGAAAGAGAAAAATAATATTTAATGTTCACCTTGTGACAAGTTCTGCGTTGTTCTGACATTTGTGTGGTTTTGTTTCAGCCGTTTCTTACAGTATAGAGGGCCATTTGCTAAAAGACGACATCCTTTGGTAGATTCCTCAGTAGTTTCAGAGATACGGAGATGCCTTGAGGAGGGTATTGAATTCCAAGGCGAGTTGTTGAACTTCAAAAAGGACGGGACTCCTTTGATGAACAAACTGCGCCTTACTCCTATATATGGAGATGATGCAATAATCACTCATGTTATTGGGATTCAGTTCTTCACAGAAGTGGACATTGATCTAGGTCCAGTGCCCGTATCTTCAATAAAGCAATCTATGAAGTCATCTGACCGTTCTCATTCTGATATTTCTGCTTTTCGACCTGTAGTGGTTGGGGACCGAAATGTGTATCGTGGGTTTTGTGGGATACTGCAATTGAGTGATGAGGTATTATCTCTCAAGATACTTTCACGACTGACTCCAAGAGATATTGCATCTGTTAGTTCCGTCTGTAGGCGACTAAATGAAATGACAAAGAATGAGGACCTTTGGCGGATGGTCTGTCAAAATGCATGGGGTTGTGAAACTACACGTGTTTTAGAGACGGTTCCTGGTGCAGAAAGACTTGGGTGGGGTAGGCTGGCAAGGGAATTGACAACTCTTGAAGCAGCTGCATGGAGGAAGCTTACCGTTGGAGGGGCTGTTGAACCTTCAAGGTGCAACTTTAGTGCGTGTGCTGTCGGGAATCGAGTTGTACTTTTTGGTGGTGAAGGAGTAAATATGCAACCGATGAATGACACCTTTGTATTGGATCTAAATTCAAGCAACCCAGAGTGGCAACATGTCCAAGTGAGTTCCCCTCCACCTGGTCGTTGGGGTCATACACTTTCTTGTGTGAATGGGTCTCATCTGGTTGTATTTGGTGGCTGTGGAAGGCAGGGCCTACTCAATGATGTTTTCGTGCTAGATTTGGATGCAAAGTCTCCAACCTGGCGAGAGATCTCGGGATTGGCCCCTCCACTTCCAAGATCATGGCACAGCTCCTGTACTCTTGATGGAACCAAGCTCATAGTTTCCGGTGGTTGTGCAGATTCAGGAGTACTTCTTAGTGACACTTTCCTGCTTGATCTTTCAATGGAGAAACCTGTCTGGAGAGAGATACCAGTTGCATGGACCCCACCTTCTCGTCTGGGTCACACACTGTCAGTATATGGTGGTCGGAAAATATTGATGTTTGGAGGTCTAGCTAAGAGTGGCCCTCTCCGGTTTCGTTCTAGTGATGTCTTCACAATGGATTTAAGTGAGGAGGAACCGTGTTGGAGATGTGTAACTGGTAGTGGCATGCCTGGTGCTGGAAATCCTGGGGGAGTAGCTCCACCTCCGAGACTTGATCACGTTGCCGTGAGCCTTCCCGGTGGAAGAATTCTCATCTTTGGTGGGTCTGTCGCTGGTCTTCACTCCGCTTCCCAACTTTATATCCTGGACCCAACCGATGAAAAACCTACATGGAGGATACTGAATGTGCCCGGACTGCCACCTAGGTTTGCTTGGGGGCATAGTACTTGTGTTGTCGGCGGAACAAGGGCTATTGTACTCGGTGGTCAAACAGGCGAGGAGTGGATGCTAACCGAGCTCCATGAACTATCGCTTGCCAGGAATGTCTGATTACCTGCAGTCCTGACCAAAAGATGATTCTGCAGATGCATATAATATATGTTATAAAAGAGTCGCGGTTCGAAAAACAAGAGTCCACAAGATGAGATTGAATTCTGAGAACAAACTGGATTGGTGAACATCCTTAGAAAATAACAATCCTGACAAACATTCTTCTGGTCGTGTGAAACATGTTCATGTCCCGAGGCTGTTCTGGTCCTGCTGGCTGGCACGACAGGGGCAAAACTCGGAAACGATTGGCTTGAAACATGTTTGGTTTTTTTGTAAGGTTTGGTATGAGCCGTCTAACAATGCTCACAATGGTTTATTATTGCTTCTTAGGATGCTAGTATTTGATACAGATACTGAAACAAGTTAGGTTCTTTATATATTTTATTATACTATATATATTTGTAGGCTCTGTAATTAAGAACAGAGGATGTTGCATGTTTATATTAACCTGTTGTTTTAATCTTTGATTTTGTAAAATCAGAATTGATTAGTATTGTAATATTATAAATATTTTTAGTTAAATTTAAATACAAACTCGAACAACTCGTTGGATTCGAATGTTAAACTCGACAAAAATTTAAATAAAACTAAAGCTATAAAATAGTACTCGCTAGCCCGATTCACTCGTAACTTTTTGACTCAAATCGATTCGATCGAGTACTCAGACCCTAAATTATTTATGTATAGTGGGACTCAATTTTAAGTAGCAGAGATATTAGTCCCTAATTAATAATGGGCAACAATTGGTGTTTCAGATATTATAAAATGGAAGGACTAAAATTGTAATTAAACCAGATAACTTAAACGGTGAAAGTACAATAATGAGAAAGACTATTAAAAGCAGCAGCTGTTTTTCTCCACTCGGGTTTCGTGACATTAACACTCCGTTCTTCTCAGCTTTACTTTGCTCTTTATCTTCACACACTTTCACTCTCCCTTTCTTTTCCTTTATCAAAATGCCGATCAAAAGGGATCCGTCGATTCCGCCGCCGACGATTGGCAAGATCGGTCCATACACCGTCTTCATTACCCCTCCTTCCACCCCTTCTCCCGCTGAATCCCCTGTTTTTCAATCTCCCACCAAGGGGGCGCCGCCGCTTTCTCCTCTCGCTCCTCCTCCCGTACAACCGCCGCCCCAGCAGTTTGACAAGTCTCTTCTTTCTTGTGAATCGTATTCCGATGGCTCTTTTCTGGGTTTCTTCAAAGACGCTGCCTTTAAACTCCAAAACGGTATCTACTTTATTTATTGGAAAGACGTATCTGGGTTTTAAATCGTAAAAAATAATTCACTTTTTGTATCCTGTTTTCAAGTTTAAAGCAGAATCGAGTTGGGTTTATCTATGGAAGCATAAGAAACAGCTCAATTATGTTCACACTCGGTTCATTTTGTTAAGCAATGAACAAAAGAAATCACTGGGTTCTTTTTTTGGTAGCTCATTCAAGCTTGGATGATCATTTAGCGCGCTGGTTTGGTTTAAATCAATCGAAGTATCAATGGGCATTGGATGATTATTATGAGAGCAAGGGACTGGTAAGTGTTTATAGATATTCGTTTGATGGTTCGTTTTCTCGTGAAAATTTTAGGTTTAAACTCTTTTGGTGGTGCTTTTTCTCTGGAAAATTTAAGTTCCCAGATCATAATTTTTATCTCCTTTTAGTTTGGTATTAGGCTACGTTTGGTGAAATCAAAGTACTGCGGAAGCTACCTGTGAAGTAGCTTATAAGCAATTACTCCTTTTGTTATAAACAATGATATGTCTTACATTATGATATTGTCATACACATAACATTCGACAGTTCGGACTTATGTCCGTAGCCGACCGTACTCCGTATCCGACCCTACTCCTTGATCCGATGTGGTATAGTTTTGAAGTAGTACTACTCGAACTTGAAGCAGTATTTGATTTTATATGATCAGCTTAATGTCTAAAGGTGATTAAACCTATTGAAGTGCATGGCTTCTAGTTATACTTCGGAGATGCACCATGGAAGTAACATTGATGTTTTGACGGAAAAAACTGTTTGTGTTATTGTTTTCACTGTGTTAAGTTTACTTTTCGTCATATGCAGCTACACAATGCTTAGGATATTGACGTCGTTTAACATTTTACTGAAATAAATTCAACATTTTACATCATTTTTATTTCAGGAAAAGGAAGGTAAAGTGAAAGATATGTCGAGCAAAATACAGAGTGTGTAGCATACTTGTCCTGGTAACCAAAAAATTCCGGCATCCCTGTTCTTTTCCTTTTCTAATGTCATCCTTTTCGAATTTTAGTTATATATGTAGTGCGGATGTTCGAAGTTCTGATTGCCCTGAATTTTTCTGTTTCTGCGTGAATTGCACCAAGGATGGTTGTTGCTTCGGAAAGACATCCGGATCTGTGAAGGGAACTTAGTTGAAGTCTTAGGATCAGATCGGATTGTATGTGCTTCTCTTCCTTGTGTTAAAGTAGCTAACTGAGCTTGCTTTTGTGTATTAGGATCGGAATCGTATGCGCTTCTCTTCCTTATGTTAAAGTAGCTAACTGTGCAGGACATACTCTGTCATGTGTTGTTATTTTATTGAAAGCATTGTCTTGCTGCCTAAGTTTCTCATTTGTGTTTACGGGCAATTGAGGCGATAATCTTATCTTGTGTTATTTGGACTGCGATGACTGGGAACACGAATAAGAACAAAAGGGAGAACGGACACACGTGAGTGGTCTCGCATGCATTTCTCCGGTCACTTTTGTCGTGTCTCATGTCAGAAACACCATTGGAATAACTTAAAACCTTGGTGAAAGAGCCAACAATTGCTATACGAAATGATAAGAAAATTCTGGGATTCTTATAAGATCATAACAATCACAAAAGCAGCTAATGGTGAAATGTAAAATATCATTGACAGTCTACATGAAGAATATAATGGGTCTAAAGAATGATTGTTGACATAGACCTTAATCTGGTTTGTGCTCGGAAATGATCCATTCATGTCAATGCCAAAGTCTAATGCAAAAGGCTGCTGGTACAACGGATGATCCCTTGCTCGAGATACAATCAGAGAACGTGTCCACGAGCTGCTCTGCGAGAGATGCTGAATCTGTGATGAAGATATCAACAAGGACCTTCACGATCCTCACCTCCCGCGTGGTTGCTCTCAAGCTGTACCAGGTGAGGAATTTCTGCCTGAAGTTCTTCTCGATATGTCCCTTACACTCTTAACCATTTGATCACCTTCATGTAATGCTTGAAATCCGTATCTGAGTAACCGTTTTCTAAACATTCTTCGTCTTGCTTTTCTCCGATTTTCTTCTTTGAGGCGCTTCGCCTTCCATCTAGAGGATCTTCTCCTTTCCCAGTCCCATTTCCGCAGTCCTTGCTACTGGATTTTGATCTCCCTCTTCTTCCTTGTCTGTTTTTAATTATTTCCATTCTGCGGGAGTAATCGGCAATCCAACTTCTGAGCAACCGACAGATGGAAAACATTCGGTACCAGTCTCCAGGATGGGCATTTAACCCGAGTCTGACGGATCGGGTCGGGTTTTTAATAAAAAATTCAAGTTCACGTTGGGACGCATGAGAGAGAATATCGGGTTCAAGTGAAAAATATCCGGCCCGACTCGATACAATATAAAATATTTACAAAAATGTGAATCCTATATATATTATTTAGGGTTTTGGTTCCTTTCATTTTCCCACTCAGCTTCTGCCGCTCCTTTACTTCTTTATTTTGTTCGTTTTTTTTTTCATTTTCCCTTCTTTCTTTTGAGCTTTGTTTTGATTTTTCTCATAAAAACGCCGTTTGCCGTCTCTCTCATCTAACATTTACAACAATTTTTTTTGAAGATTTTACGAGGTTTTCAGATATCTGAACGAAGATTCAAGTTTGCATGTATTTTTTGTGGATTGATTTTCTTCTTCTAATTTTTTTGTTTTGTTTTTGGGATTTTTTATAAAATTTACACATTTTTTTCATAATTTAGATTTTCTTTTCCAGTTTGCTTTATTTTGAACTTCATTTTTATGCTTGGTTGTTTGTTTAGTTAGTAAGAAAATATGGGAATAGACAATAAAATAATAAAAAAATATGGAATTGATCGGGATTTTAGGTTGGATGTCGGGTCGCGTGGAATCTTTCAAAATTGGAGGCGGGTCGGGTGACTAGACGGGTGGAGGGTGACACTTCTTAGGTCGTAGTCGGATGGGTCAAAAAATCCGATCCGACCCATGCCCATCCCACTCTCCACCGGGACATACGAGTTATTATCAGTGATTGTCTCCTCAGTAATCCGGTCCCCTGATGTGCGCCTTTCTCAGCATTTCGTGGATCGGTATCAAGCATAGGACCAACTATCTCCATCGTGTGTTCCTCACCCGACGTCGGAACTGCTTCTGCCAGAATTCCTTCCTCACAGAGGACAGTGCACTTTGCAGCACCTTTCAATAGATTCATTGAAACCATGCGATCCGTATCCTTGGAATATATACTGTACTTCTCTGCCCGGTTATCGTTTTGATCACTGTATGGAGTAATCTTATTAGTTTCATCCTCAACCGAAGATGAATTCGAAAGGCTGCTATAGTTGGTTGCTGGGCTTTGACTTCTTTCCATCATCGGACAGCTTGGGACTTCATTCCCACCTCAGCATGTTGAAATCGGAACTTCCCATGGACCGAACTCTCTTATACCATTAAATGCCATGACTTTGAAAAGATATTCCATAGCTGGAGTCAGCCCCGCAACAGCAAACCTTGCGTTCGGCACCAACATGGTGCAAGTTGATTTAACTGGGTAATCCCGATCACAAGCCTTACGATGCCATACTTGTAAAGGTTCTTCAGAACCCAAAATCACAGTAACGTAAGTTGGACGAACATCACTGTTGCTGGAGAAATTGAACATGAACTCGCTGAAAAAGGATGAGTCGATACATAAATCAATAAAACAAAATCCCATAGAAAAATTGTTTTGACGATTGGAAATTAAAGAAAGACACATGATTAGCACTTCATTCGAGATAATGAAAACCGTTCAACTATGTGTGTTGTAAGCTAGAGATTACCTGGTATTGAATGTGTAACCCCCTCAGACCGATGCGGATAATCCGATTCGATCTGGAGTGTCACATTAGGGCCACCGGAGCGACTCACTGTAAAAATAGCAGAAAATTTAAAACTTTTATTAAAACATGTAACTCATAATTGCCTTATCAGCATTCAGAAATAAAAACAGATTTTTCAGACTCGTATATAAAACAAAATACAATTACATGCCCCCTAATCACATGTACCATACTCTGTAAGCAACGCCAGAAGAACTCCCTTATTGATATCAATAGCTGCACTGGTACAATTCTTTTAACCTGCAACGATGAGTAACAGAGTGAGCTTTGAAAAGCTTAGTAATACAGAACTACCAGATGATGCTGAAGAACGTGCAGATACAAATAAACATATATTTCCTTATTGGTTCCGAACATCTACAGATTTTTATGCTGATCGGAGATCCTATTGATATTTCATATGTTAACGGACAATGAGTTTTTAGTTCAAATAAATACTTTGAATGCTTGAGTTTAGGAGATCGGAATAGGTTGTCTTGTGTGTTCCCGTAAAACCAGTAAAAAGAGACAGATCTTTTAAAACATATATATATACCCCCATCACATCATAAATGTGTAGGTTCTCCAGAACCATACACCCAACCCAACACATCATATAAGACCCTGAGCACAAAGCCGAGGAACCTGCGGAAATACTTCATTCAACAATACCCCCAATTAAAACATTTTTTCAGTCATTAAACGGAGATATCAGAAATCAAAACAGAATTCAGAACAGATATCAGAACAGAATCCAGATCAGAAATCATAACAGAATTCAGGTCATATATCAGATAAAATATTTATATTTTTAGGGAACACACCAGAGTTTACAGATATTATTCAGAGATATTGGATAATCTTATCGGGTAGAGAGACACAAATCTTCAGTTTACCGATAGAATGTCGGAAGTTAGAAAAACTATTTGAAAAGTTCATTAACTGACAGAATCATCAGTTATTCAGGATATAATTTATCGGGATTATCTTATTTGAACACTTTTCTGAATCTCTACGAAATTTGAAGGTATTCAGAATCTTTATAATCTATGACGATTAATCCGATTATCGAACAACTCCAGATGAATAGCTCCTAGAACCAATACTTATTAACTTGTCAATTCATTAACCTTCCAAGGTATTTACTCTTTAATACCAAATATTCTTATCCACAGACCATCTTCTGAGTCGTTACTGAATAAATCTTAAGGAGACAAACAAATATTTTAATTGTCTTTATTTCATTTCCATGTTTCAACTATACCAGGAAATACTGACGTACTTGATTTGTGGTTCATAATCCATAGGGATGATACATCATATAAGTTCATCCGAGTTTCCAAACTTATTCCAATCTCTTACTTAATCCTCAGTCTTTGAGGTTACTTAGTTCATTTAACAGTCAAGTCATTTATAATTACATCAGGGTTTTCTATAGTAATTCAGGCTTTTGAATTTCATATACATATTGCACTTCCGTTAAATTCAATTTGGTAGTCGTAGTTGATTTGTCTAATGAATATCCACTTCTTGATATTGAATGCGATCTAAAGTTTAGCTGAGTTGAATACTTCCAAAACTATCATCAAGCCACACTTGAGAAGACGAACACGCATTCAAGTAATATCTATATCGTCCATGTACTGACATATCATTACAATTGATCAACTCACTTAAGCTGTGTTCCATAACTTTTAAAGGTAGTCCAACACCTATGCTTATTTGGATTACTTAATTAATCCAAGACATTTACTTATTCTAGGTCATAAGGCATTTTGGTCATTTTGATGCTCATTCTTATTCCATTCATTTCAGAGCTCGAGGATATCCAATCATTCCCGAGCTTGGTGATATTCTTGGGTCATTTCCATTACAGGGGTATTTTGGTCATTTTACAGATCTACGGTATTTCAATCTTTTCCCTCCATCCGGTCTTATTATTTAATTCCAATTTATCATCTACTCCAGTACTTTTGAACAATTCTGATAAAAGAGCACCCTCCGATAAATTGTTCTTCAGGTATTTACTCTTAACTCGGATATTTTCGGGTCAAGTGCCTTCTCGGATTTTACAAACGAAATATCTTGAATTTTTATTTACAAAGACAGGATCTTAATAATTAAATTCGTACTTAATCTAGTTAAGTACAAATCCTCAAAGTACTTTCTCCTTCAGGATCAACTCTGACTATTTTACCTCTCAAGGGTATTTTCGTAATTTCTTAACCAGATAATTTTGATATTAGCGCTTAACGAAAATAATATAATATAGAGATCCTATGATTAATTGCTTCCTCGAACATTCTTTGATCTTGAAATGATTCCTTAAAAGACTTCTAGTATCTAGCATAAACCTTCTTGGGGTTAAAAACCGGTTATCCATAATTTTCAAGTAAAACTAACATTTCTTATGCACATCAATAGTTTTAGCAGATCAATAATTATTTTCAGATTTATTAATCCACTTACAGGGACAATTCTTGTCATTTTCCAACATAAGGGTAAT